ATACATAGATTCCAACATATAATTGCAGTCATTTTATCATGCTGTTCCTTATCTTCAGTCTGTGCAATCTTGCTGCATGAACTAAGGTATTCAACTGTTCTATCTTTTTATTTACACACATGACATTTACTGTCTGTCATTTTGTTTGATTTTTATTATTATTAAAAAACAGAGAAACAATTACAACAGGGGAAAAAAAGAAAGATGAAAAATAAATAAAGACAAGACACTATTTCCTCTAATTTTGTAAAAAAGTAATTGCCTTGATGCTATTTATCTGAAACACCTGTTCTTGAGCTGCAAATATAAATTGATAGTTAATGTTGTTGTTTTGTTATGGATGTAGCAACAAGGCACCACTGCTGTGCTCTGTGAGATGAAGCATCTGCTTTTCCTGTTCTACAGGTATGGGTGCTGAGAAGGTCTGGAGTGTCCTACATGAAGAACCAAAGCGGCAACGTGAGGTTGCAGCTGCTAAGAAGGGCCTCTCGCTCTCTCAGCAAGTAAGAAATGTAGCCCAAGATGCAGCCCTAGTCTTGGCTGCACAATGTATGACATTACCTTCTGATTTCTTCCATCAGATTACTTCAATAACAATTTCTCTTCCTTTGTTCCAAGCAGATAAACAGAATAAGTTCTTGTAGGGTAATTTAAGTTTCCTAAGGCTTCAGCCTTTAGTAAGGAAACAAAAATACTGAAATATCAAAAATGTCAAAGCCAAGCTTGTTAGGGTCTAGCTTTAAATCTGCAGAGTAGCAGAAATGTTCCATTGTCTAACTATGGGCGTCTGCAGATGGGCGGCCATGGGCCACCCCGAGAAGCCGTGGATTGGGGTTGAGGCTGACCCATGCCTCGGCCCCGATCTACTCTTTTTCCGGCCCTGGAAGGAGCGCTAAAATAGCACTCCTTCCGCAAGGCGCGGAAAGGGCGCCGCAAGAGGCAGTGCGCGCCTCTTCGGTGTCTTTTCTGACTCAGTGTATCTGGACACTGAGCCAGAAGGATGTCATCGGAGCACCCATCGTGTGCAATAACGGGCGCTCTGATGACGTCCTCAGGAAGGGGTTGGGGCACCCAGCGTCCAGCTGCCCCTCCCCTTCCTTGGCTTGAAGACAGTGCTTTGCACCGTCTGCAAAGGGCCTATGCTTCCCTAAGAACTGACACTGACTCTGAAAACAACAAACAGATTGTAGTACAAAATAAAAGTTGACTAATGATTTTTATCTATATATATATAAAGGCTATATCCTAATCTAGCTAGTGAATAGTTTAGTTAAAAAGAAATCAAAGGGCCTGTACAGATTGGCCACAAGGGCCAGCTTGGGGATGGAGTGGGGGCATGGCGACTGCATGCCGGCCGCCCCAACTTCGCTCCCACGTCGTCCTCACGCTGCTCACCCAAACAGATGGTGGTCGGCATCAGGATGCTCCCTTGGTGCAGCATTCATACACACTGCACCAAAGGAGCACTGAAAAGCCGCCGCCGCTGTGGCAAGGGTGGCTTTTTGCCACTCTAAAAAGGAGCGACATTTGCCAGCTCTTTTTAGAGTGGCAAAGTGCCGGATCAGGGCCTCTGCATGCAGTTGCCGCAGCCCTGATCCAGCGCTTCCAGGGGCGGCACGGAGCCACCCCTTTCGGGCCATCTGTTTAGCCTCTTTATCTCACCATCTTTCCAAAGAAAGTTGAGAGATTGAAAACATGCAGTTCAGTTGAAAATCTTGAGAGAGAATCTTGTTTTTCCCAAAGGGGTGTGTGACCTAAGTCACATGGTTAGTTTGAGTGGGAGAGAGATAGAAGTTTGCATGCAGGAAATCACTATCTGTCCTAGCAGGGGAAAAGAGAATGCAAAAATCTTTCAACAGCTCTGAGCTAGTGTTTATGCTCCTCAATCTTATTTTTTGCCTGCCAAAATCTTTCTCCCTTAGGGAAGTAGTGTTTGATATAAGAGTAGTCTCCTACATCTTCTGGAAGTATGAAATAGGGAGGCCACATTTCCGCAGAATGATAAACAATTATTATGGAAAATTCCAGCTTACTATAAACAAGTTGCATGTTGATGCCTGCAAGCTCTTCAGGATTTTACAACTTGGAAAATACCCCTGCATGGAGAGTGGCCATACTCTCTGAAGAATCCTAAGGATTGTAGTCCAAAAGAAGTTTCTCTCCTAAGTTTTGTTTTATCTCAGTATATACCATATTCTTGAAATACTTTTGCCTCCTTCTAGGTACCCTGGCTGGGATGTCCTACTACTACACACCGGTTGCAGCAAGTGGCTCATTGGCGACAGCAGCTGCACGTGATGCACCATCTTGGAAAGCAGTACCAGCATACAACAAATCATCTCCTGGAAACCAAACACCTCACAGACCTCAGTGACACCTATGGAAAAGAAGGACCAGCCCGCTATTTCCATTGCTCCTTGGGTACAGAGCAGGAGCCACAGCATTTGGTGTAGATAATTCTGAAACTAAAGGAGGGATATGATCAGGGTTGTCACAAATGCCACCAGAGAACCAGTGGTGAAATTCTGGCTCTTCAATATTGGACAGCAGTACCCCTAATCTCTCACCATTGTCTACACTAGCTATGCTTGTGTTGAACTGAAGTCCAGCAATATGTGGAAAGCCACACATTCCTCATGTCTGTCACAAATACTCTGTCAAAAATAATCCATATCCCTTCCCTTAATTTTTAAGGTTTTTCGAAAGCTAGATGGAAGTGTATTCAGTAAAAAGTCAACCTATTTGTACCTAGCAATCTTCTAGCTCAATGGTTCTTAAATCTTTGATTCCCCCAGATATTTTGGATTTGGCCAATGGTTGGATATTCTGGGAGATGAAATCCAAAACATCTAGAGGAGCACAGGTTGAGAACAATCATTCTAGCCAACATGGCAAAGGCAGAGGAATAACCAGTGAACATTTAGCACTCTTCACATTTCAGTAAAAGCTATAATCTATTTCATTTAAGCAATACAAAAGGTAATTACTGTATATAAGAAACCTTGCATTTGTCTGTGTTTGTATCTATCTTGGTGCTTCTTATTCTCACCAATGTGCCTATATCTTCCATCTGAAAATGCTTGGCTATTGCAATGTGTAGGAAGAAGTACTTCTGGAGGACAAGGAGGTCACTGTATTAGTATAGCCTTGTGGACAAGAGGTCTCCTGAGGAGATGGAAGTTGTAAGCCCTCCTCACTTTTCTTACAGGATAATTTTCGTAACAATTTTATTTACAATTGGCCCTCCATAGCCATGGATTTTTTTATTCATAGATTCAACCATTCACGGCTTGAAAATATTTTAAATATATGATATATAAATTCTAATAAGCAAACTTTGATTTTGCCAATTTATGTAAGGGACAGCATTTTACTTTGCCACTGTATTTTATGGGACTTGAGCATCCACAGATTTTGGTATCCACAGAGGGTCCTGGAACCAAACCCTAGCATTTTTGTTATTTATTTTATTGAATTTATATCCTGCCTTTCTCCCAAAATGGGATTTAAAGAGGCTACACTACTGTCGGCCCTCCGTTTTTGCGGGGAAATCCGTTCTGGACCAACCAACCCCCCTCCCTGTGAAAATGGAGATTTGCCAATATTCAAGCCCCCTAAGTCGCCCCTCCGTGAATATGCAAAACCGCAGACTTCAAGTCCATGAGAACGGAGGGGTGACTGTACACTTGCATAGCTGAGATGTATATGATAATAGTACCTATATGTCATACGTCTTCATCCAAACAGAGCTTGGGGATTCTTGGAATTGGAATCCAAAAATAGTTTTACTAAGCTCTGTTTCAGAGTGCCTGTAGACATTAGCACACTCCTGGTAGCTCCTGTCTACCTTGAAGAGTTGTGTATTTTCAGGTCGTGTTCTTTTCTCCTGTCTGAAGAAATGAAAAAAAAAATGCAGATGGGATCCTATAAAAGGAGATAAACTTTGTACTTTACAATCAGTTGAACAAGCAAGTACTCAGAGGCACACCCAAT